AAAGAAGAAGCAGCTATGCTGTGTGTGATACATTTTCCTTTGCATCTTACCACAGGAAAAGCCTGCGAATGTTTGCCATGCTCTGTGCGAATGTTCTCTCTGGAGAATTTGTAGAAGGCCTGAGCCTGAGAATTAAAAGTAAGTGGTATTCCTTAACAACGGGCAAGTCAAATCTGCATGAGACTCAAAACACGATATTTTCTCTCTTAATAGGCAAGTCTGGTTAGTGATCTGAGAACAGAGGGTTGGGCTCTGAGGGAGCCGTTTGAGGAGGAAGTGCTCTCTGAATTCTTCTCTTTGTGATCATGAAGCTCAGTGGCAGAGAGACCTGGTCCTACCAGGTCCAAATAAAATTAAATTTGATTGTATATCACTTGGCTCAAATACTCTCTGACAGGATAAAGCAGCAGCACAGCTCTGTTGGTCAACTTTGGAATTCGATCTAGTGAGGACAATAGTAAAAGTTGATACGGAGAAGGAAGTATTTAAGGAAAGCTTAAGCTGTGGATGGGAATGCCAGGGGACTTTGAGCTCCAAACACAGAGAGCTTCTGAAGACTGAAACAATGAAGGAGGCAAAACCATCACCTAGGAAGCAAACCATAACATTTCGACAACCAACCATCTGTGCCAAAGTGAAGGGAAAAAACAGGCAAATTAAAAAAAGTGTCACAGTATTATTGCTGGCTAGGGACACAGATGCTAAATTTATTTAAAGCCTAATAGCTACACTGAATTAAATGCTGCTGATTTGGTATAAATACAACTAAAGCTGGAAGATTTCGCAAGACAGTTTTCAAGAAGGAAATTGTTAAGATGTGCCCTTTACACATCACTAGCTAAGTGGTGTATATTTGCTGCTCTGAGCTACTGTGCCAGTTGGATGTCTGCCAGGCTTATAATGCTGCTTTAAAAGGGATCACTTGCCATGTGGAGTTTTTGCATTTTCTGTTATCCAAACAGGCGCACTTGAATGTTAATTTGTTCCAGGCTGCCAAGGACCCAGTTCTGTGAGGAGCCAAATGTGCTCAAGCCCCCTGCCTGCCAGTGGAAGCTGCTCAGATCCCACCACAGAAGAGATAGCGCTAAAGGCATACGCTATCGAGCACGTGCTGTGGAGTCTCGGCAGCCTGCTGCGTGGCAGTCAGGGAACAACGTAACACCGGGGTATAAAACGTCTAGCCACAGAAGCGTTCCGGTCCTTCCAAGTGCAATGCTGTGGCCTTCTCAAAAATGGACAATAGCTTCTCTCACATGGAAGATGACAGCTAGAGGTGTTTTGGGGGGATATTACGAAAGGAAAAAGCTGCCTGGGTTTTTGGAACTGGGCTATTGCCCACCGTGGTCCTCAAGGACGAGGCCTTTCTAGGGATAACCAAGTGGTACTGTGAATGCAGGCAGCTCTGTGTTTGTGATCCAGCCCTTGTGGCATCAAAGCTAAAGCCACCAGGAGCTTTTCTATGCAGTTGGCTCGTTGCTCAGAAAGCAGGTAGCCTGTGAACCCCAGTGGCCCTGTCGCGTAATACAGCAAAGCCATTGGACTACTGCTTGTCCTCCAGACCCTCCTGGAGCCACTGCTTGTCTGCACCATGACTCCCCCAGACTGAGGGCCAGGGTGTGCTGGCAAAGCTTCACGGGGAGCCCTCTGGGTGGAGGTGACCCTGTCATACATGGGCTTCCTACAAAGGGACCTTCTTAGACTTTTTTGCCACCCCTTTGAGTTTTACCTTTTCAGTGTTTCCTCCTCCTTCCTTGAGGCCTTTCAGCATCTCCTTTAGCAGCTTTAAGGCTGTGTCACCTCTCTCTTATGTGGTGAGGTCATGTTTCCAAGGAGATTTTTATGCTTCTTCCCTTAAAAATAAGGCCAAACTTTCTCCTCCTGAAATAAATACTAATTTTCTTCTGGCAGGAGCCTATCGAATTTCAAAACCTCTCTCTCTTTTAGGGAGGGGGACTGTGGTTTTACAGAGTCCAGGAGCACTGGGGATGGAAGGGCCCAGCAGCGGAAAACAGACCTCAGAGTTGGGAAGGTCATTTGGCAATCAGGTTGTCTTTCACTGAAATCACAGAGAGAAGACCTCTCCATATTGAGCCCACAGCACTGTACAGCCCTTGTTCTTCCTTTACTATTGGTGAGCTTTTCCTTGCTCCCAGGGAAACAGGTCTTGGCTCAGTGGACACAAGTCCGAACCTGAAGGCCGAAGCTACTGCGCACCAATTAATGTATTGAATTTTTGCTTTTCTTCCTTGCTTCTGCCCCTCTTGGTTTTGTTTTTTGAAATAGGGGAAGAAGCACAGTATGAGAAGACCTACAACTGAACCCTTTAAAGCTGTCAGAGTTTATAGAAGTGATGTTTGCTCTGAAAAGCCCTGATTAAACAGGATTATTTGGGGAGCTGAACTAATTTCCACGTTTGCCTTTAAACCTTTGTCATGCAGTCATCACTATGAACGTTCAATTCAGCAGGCTTGTGCCGATCTCCTGTTGCACGACAGAAAGAAGTGAAGAGTCAGTTCCAAAACACTATGGAAAACATGTCACTAAGGGCCTGGTAGTGCCTCCTGGCAGCAGCAGCTTGCGGCGTGTCATGCTGCGTTCGCTGAGACGACCCGCAAGCGAGGGTTAAGCAGCTCTTTCCTGCTTTGTAGGGTCAGGGACAGCCGCAACCCGGCCTTTGCTTAATGGTGCTTGAAAGCCAACCTTGAGGCCAAGTCACTCGTGAGCAATCATACTCAGAGTGCTTTTTGCTGTATGTCTTGTGATCTCTCACTGCTGTGGCCTGTGCTGAAATAGAAAGCCCCCAGCCGCATCCCTCCCGGTGCCAGGGATTTGGCTGAGCATCAATTTTTTTTTTTGTTTTTTTTCCCCCCACCAGCAGAAATCTGCAGTAACTCCACTGCCTGCAGTCGGGTCTTGGCCTGTTCATGTGTGAGGAAGAGTGCTATACAGATACAGTTAGGGGAGTATTTTAAAGGGCAAGCCCTGTGTGTTTATATGAACACAACGTTCAAATCCTGCAATACAGAAACAGATGTCAAATTTTTCATTGTATCTCAGTCTGCCCTTGCTTGCAGCCAAGTTTGTCACGGTTGATTTTTTGTTGATTGAAGAGAGGAGGAGCCAGCCCACAATAGCAGCTTCCTGCCCCAAGCCACTTTTCCAGTGAGGAGTTAATATGAAGAACCAGCTGGGGAGGAGCGCGTTGTCAACCCTACGTAGCGCTGATTCAGGAGCGATGAGGCTGCAAGCATGGCAGTCGGAACTGCAAAATGCTAGGTGGGAGCAGAGCCCACTCAGGGCTTCCTAGCACTGCTGAATTTTGCCACACAAAGGACAGAGGTTTGGAGCTGGCCTGTTTTCATTGTGAGCAGGAAGAAGGAAAACTGGAACGGGGGACAAGGCCCTTGGGAGCAGGGGTTCGTGCTGCCATGGGCATGGGACCACGGGGTAACCTGGGTGACGGCTGCTCTTCCTCACTCAGCAGCAGCCGCTACTCGTTTCGCTGATGGCGACAGGAGCAGATGGCTGGCTGTGGGGCAGCACTGGTGAGGGAGGGGACAGCAGAGGGTCCTCTGCAGGCAGTGCCCACTTTGCCTGGAGCTGGTCCCAGCTGCTCCAAAGCCAGCGATGCTGAGAGCTGCACCCCCGTGGAGGGAATCCAGCTTCTGCAATGACTCTCGGCTGCCCAGATGGATGGACCTGGCCAGGCTGCTGCATCTGGTGTGGGAGGCCCCACTTGCTCTCCTCTGATGGCCTTGTTACCAAAGGACTCAGCTGGAGAGCAATTTAGGGGAGAAACGTCTATTTTGGCACTCACTTGCCTTTTTCAAGGAGAAACTTGGCCTAGCTCCAAAAACAACTGTTTATTATCTCGCTTCTGGTTCATTTAAGCGTTCTTAATATATTTTGAGGGAAACATGCACATTTTTCCATTTGTGTGTGGGCAGAAGGGAAGGCATCTCACTCGGCGGCTGCGCTGTGTTTGCAGCAAGGCACACCGCAGGGAGCTTGTTCTGGGGTAAGCACGGGTGGCCCTGAGAAGACGTGGGGATGTGCAAGAACGGCAGAGGGGCTGCAGATGAGGAGGGCGTGAAATACTGACAAAAGAGTAAAGCCAGCTGGGAGAAGGCAGCAACATGGGAGCCAAGCATCAGGCCGAAGCGCTGCAAGCATGAGCCATTGGGTGTAATGGGAGGTGAAAGACCACCGCCGAGCACAGCGAGCACGCTCGCTGCGGCGTGCGGTGTGTTGGCATGTCCTATTGCCAGCTGCATGCTAACGCCCACGCTGAAATACTTCTTCAAAAATCCTCCCTCCTGGAGGGCAACTGGTTTCTCTGGGTCAAGGTGGCGAGCTAGTGAGGGGCCATCGCCGGCCACCGGCTCGTGGCAGGGATACCGCGCCGAAGCCTCGGCCCAGGTGCTGTGGGAAGGTTGAGGATGTGTCGAAAGGACTCGAGCTGTCTGCTCATAGGTGCATAAGCCATTGTAAGGTTAAAAGACACTGGCAAATCTCATCGTTTGGCACCGTGTGTTACACAATGCATTGGGTTTTGCCTGCTTCTCTTGCACTGAAACTAGGCGGTTTGACTAAAAGGCATCCAAAGGCCTGAACTTCAGAGAGGTTCAAATTTAGCTAAATTTTCTGTCTCTCTCTTGTTTTCTGCAACAAGGGTTTTGGATGCTTAAAGAAAAGTACAATTTTATATGTATGCTTTTAGCCAAGGAAAAAATGGGAAATTGTTCAAAATTCAATTAAATATTTATATCGTGGTCTCTATTTAGAAACTGGTGCTTTATCAAGTTAAACAATCCATTAAGCTCATAATCGCACTCCATCTTATGGGGCACAGTGCCTTTTGCATCTTTTGAAATGAATATTCACATTGGCTTACTCTGAGGTGAAATTAATCTTCTGTTATATTGTTTCATTTTGCTGCTGACTGAAATAATATTTTCAATACCTTTTTCATTGTCTATTTTTTTTTTGTTTGACACAAGACTTATGAAGGAAATTTGAAAACTAGCCACAAAGCTGAGATTCCTGGTAAGTTTTTAAAAACTCTTTAAATGGTCATCTATCTTGTGCCATCAATGTGCTTTTAGCAATTGCCTTTTTATCTGTAGCAGGTGCAGCAAATGTCCCTGCAAGAATTACTGTGATCTTGAAGGTCTGGTGGTGTCAGATGATCACATAGTTAAAGGAAGAGATTTTGCAGAACAGTTATAGTCAGTTCTGGGGGGATGGAGTCTGTAGAAAGTCCTCTAAAGGCCAGAAGAAGGAATCAAGCCATGTACTTTGATAAGACCAGGGATGTCCAAGCACTTCCCACATTAGTCAACACATGGGACATCACTGGCAGACAAAAAGTGTTTTCCAATAAAGGCCTCACAGATGTTAGAACTGAGTCAAGGTATACTTTTGTTAGAAACGTAGTTGTCATTTGTTAGCCTTACTAAATGCACAATAATATTTATTTGAATATTATTATTTTGAAAGTGTTGAATAATTTTTCCTCCCCGGATCTTATACCAGGGAAAGTTTTCCTCTTTTACTTATTTCTAAAAATAAATGAAATGAAGACTGCTTTTCTTTTTACTGGTGTATCTGATTTCTGTAACTAGGATAACTTAGAAATACATTGGTTTTGTAGACTATGAGATATGGCATTGTTTAAAATGCTGCCTCTTTTTGAAAACAATCTTTTCCACTAGGTGACTACAAGGTGTGGGTTATTCATGTTATGAGACTTGCAACGAACGCTTGGAGGTTAATCTTATGCCATATTAATACTGCTATAAAGGATAGTGACTGCAGCAGGAAAGCTATCACTGCTCTTTAATGTGTTGGAAGTGACTAGGTTATATCAGTAGAGCTGGCAGCTGAGCACAATCTATTCTTGTTTGTGTTGCAAGGCACTTTGATCTCTAGACACATAAAAGAAATGTCTCCCACCTTGGATCATGTTCTTCGTTCTGTACCTCATATTTAAAAGGACTGCCCAGCTCTTTCAAAGATGTTTCCTGCCATTGTTGTTGTTGACTATCCCACATGGAGTCCAAACATGTCCTGATATTATATATCGAATCTTTTTTAATGTCCTAAAAATCTTTGAATGCCATGTTTTATCAAAATGAACATGTCAGAACTGAGACTTCCTCTGCCAGACATTTCACATGCTGATCTCCTTACTTTACAGGAACATCAAGACCAGAGCTGCATCGGCCCAGGCTCAGGTACCTGGTCTTCTGCATTGCTTCAGCCACCTGGAGTTCTGCTGTTCAGTGGTGGCTTTTGTCATACTTCTTGTTTTCTTTTTGGGTTTCTATTCTCCTGCATAGTTCACTTGAGAGATTTGATCAGCTTTCTCTTGCTTGTTGATGTGAGATAGGCAACTGTACGCTTAAGATCAGCTAGATTCAATGTCTCTGAGCACTACTGAAACTGCTAGCATCGCTTATAAAATTTGTTCCACCTGTTAATCAAGTGAGCTTCCTCCTTTACCTTTAACGTCCCAGCTGACTATTTCCATGTTCTCATATTGGCTTTTTCTGAACATTTTTTTACTGATTGAGATAATAATCTTTCAAAAAATCATTAAAGTGAGGAATGTGTAAGAGAAAGTGTACTTTATAGAGAGGGGGTGGTTCTCCTTTTTATTACTAAGAGAATTTGACAACAGGAACAGTCTTTAGTAGGAGCTGTCTTTGCAGTTTCTACTGTGATGAATTTTGTCTATATCTATTTTTCTTTCCATGGGATTCTTCAGTGCCTCCAGAGAACTGCTAAATGATGCCAAAATTGTATAACATCTGAACTTTCTCTGGTAACGCCGTGCTTGGACACTAGAAAAAACAGTATAAAGACCTGATTTCATCTTAGTCAGCCTGATAATTGTTTCTCGTAGATTTAAAAAAAAAAGCCCAGCGAAGAGTATAAACAGAGCCTCTTACATACCTGGTTACATTTGGTTTCCTTCTATAATCAAGCAGTTCTATCTAACTCCCAGTTTACTGAGTAGGAAGAGTGTACACAGGCTTCACTGTAATGTGATTGCTCTTGGAGACCTGAAATGTTATTTCACTCTCATGATGTGGAGACAGCAAAATATAACTCTATACTAACAGCAATCAATGAATCAGTGGAGTATTTTTTTCCAGAAATGAATGTTTATTATATGACATAATTGTTCATTCCAAGTTTCCAAGGCCTAGTTGTTTCCTTGGTGAATATGAGTAACTCATATGAATTCAGCCAAACTTTCTGACTGATTCAAGGGGGAATGCTTATATCATCCAACCTAGAGAGTCTGGTCCCAAATGGGAGGTTGACAGGACTTAATAAAGTACCAAAGGACTGAGGACAAGTCTAATATGATAAGGAACATATAAATACAGCTGTTGCTATTGTGAAAAACGACACCACCGCTAATCTTTCACTGATACAGAATAATATAACAGATACAGGTGAGGTGAATTATTAGCAGTGTATTTGCATAGCTAGGAAAACCAGAAGAACATTGTTACAATGGAAGCCAAAACCATTGTAAAAATGGAAGCTGTGGATATAAAGCAAATTCAAATAGGATGCAATAAAAGAGAAAGCTCATAGATGTGTATATATTTTAAAACTCAGTTATAGGATCATTTAACGCATAGACTGTTATATTGTGAACTGACCCTGCAGAAAGCATAAGAGAAAAGACTTCAGGCCATCATTTTTACAAAGCACTTGGTCATGTGTCAAACATTTGTAATATACTCTTCTCCAAGAAACCAGCTTGCAGGGAAGAATATTCTGTTCCTCTGGAAAGTACTTCTCTAAGTGAGAGGCCAGGTCAGGAAATGCTTCTTTACCCTCTATGAAAAGATTGCAGTGCTTTGCACTGGAGAGAGGGCTGTAGAGAGCAGTCAGCTATGACCCACAGTGTCTGCTGTGTTCGTAAATAGAGGCCTGGCACTTCTCCCCAACGCTGAAATGTGCTGTGAATTGGATAATAAAGCAAAAGATTTGCGTGCCTATAAAATTCACCTAGCTACTAAGAGAACTGTTAGCAGAGATGTGCTTGCAACCATAATCCATCGACGCACAGATTTCATGATGCCTCCCCCACACTCTTACCCTGCTACCTGTGATCTTCTTCCAAGTAGCTTCACCCCCTAAATAAAAAAATACTGGACAGTAACTAAATAGCTGTAATAAAGTAATTTATCTATTCCTGCTATGTTTTACTATAGACCCTGGTTAAAAACAAATGTACATTTGGAAGGCCTGGTTGCCTCCTAAATCACGAAAATGAGAAATTCTACTGGATAATAAATACTGCAAATTAATACAGCATTTTTTATAATTGTTCAACAATTTCAAAGGAGGTCATCATTTTCTTTTATTGTCACTGGCACCAAAGTAGGGCACTTTTGTAACAATATAACCTCAATGCTTGCCTAGTCAGGGTTGGAAAGCCCCTGGAGACTTTCCTTAGGTATTCTGTTTGAAGTTGTAAATCTAGATTTGAACTGTTCTAAGGCAACTTTGTGTTGCTTCGTTAGAGGAAGAGACTACATCAGCCAGATCTTCCTGATCCAACAATGTGATTCAAGGACACGGTGGAAGACTTGATCCATTCAGTGGGCCCTGAGTTTCACTCCAGCCTCCTAGCAGGTTGTCTGCTTGCAAGGGAAAATTTGCAACAAGGGCACACAACTGATTTATGTTTCCTAGCCTCCCCCAGTGGTAGGCTGTGTAAAGGTATGTTACCATTTTAAACTGTTGTCACAGCAATAACATTGTGTTATGATCACCTACTCTTCTTTTCATGTATCTGTCACCAGATGGCTGTTGATGATGATTTATAGCATTATATTTCAGACCTCATTAACCAACATAAGAGCATCTATGTGCTAATTTCATCCTGTCAAATATTATTTGTAATAAACATTCAGATAATTTCACCCAGAGGGGTTTATTGACTAACACGGTAATGAATCAGTGCCCACACGCTGCTCTTGTGGGTCTGTCATTAGTGAGCAGGTTGGGTGTACGCGCACCCCCTTTCAGCGGCCATGTGTTGTACAACCTTTCTCGCTTGGTGTCATTAACATGAAAGCAAGACATTCAACAGTCTCTTCTAAAATCAATGAAATGATCCCACTTAAAGCCTTCCCTTTCCCAGGTAATCTGCAGCACCTCTAAAAGCATACTTGTAACGCAGCCCCCTCTGTGGGTATTTTCTTCTTGTCTGAAGGACTTATGGCAGAGTTCTCAGTGTAGGCAAAAATGTTTTTTATTTCAAGAGCTCGATGTGCCATCTGTTAACAAAGCAAGGAAAACAGCCAGCCCTCAGCAGTGTCCAATGGCACAACTGGCCCCACAGTTCCTGGCTGTAGGTGCTGAGACCCAAGTCTTCTTCCTGTGGTGCTCCTCATTTGCCCCAACCGGTAGTGGTCGCAGCAGACCCTCAGCCTACCTTGATGTTGTTTATGCCACCATGTCCCAGCTTGGATGCGTGGCTTCTAGACAGTCTTCAGGAAAAAAGGTTTATCAAGTTTGTCAGTCCCACGTCCCTGTCTAGGGCAAACTGTTGTTGCCAGGAAAAAGGTCCCTTTGAAACAGCTCTTATCCTGTAGTCAGCTCCAGAGTCCAAAATCAGTGAGCAGAAATCCTGGGGTGTGGCAAGGGCCCAGGAGAGCCTTTATGCTCCACTTGTTGGATGGCCCATGAGGCTGAATGCAGCATGCGATGCCTGCCAGTTTAGGGATGTGTCTTTATTTTTCTCCACTCCAAAATAACTACAGCTGCATATACCATTTGATGACATTTCCAAAACAGTCTAACCAGACTGTAACATGAGTGCTGGCCTGAGCTCCACCGGGGCCAAAATTCGAGCCGGGTGCTGGAGAAGGCTAGGCAGTTAGACAGACTCACAGATCAGGGAAAGCTGCTGGAGGGGACTTCTCTCCTGGCTGCTGCTGGTGGTGCTCATTGTGGGAGCATCTCTGCCACGTCTCGAACTGCTATTTGCCCCAAGTCAGAGATGGGCACAGGGCAGAGTAAGGAGCAGGAAGTGGAGCACTAAGGGTTCATTACAGGACTGGTTTAATACGCCCGTGCAAGCTATTTTATCAGGCTATGATGCCCATTACCAAGGGCAGGCTATTGGGGCAACGCAGATAGCAATAACCCTGCTGGAATAGCAGTTCTGTGCTCAGTAGTAAATGTACTTAGGACTATTCCCAAGATCTAGAAAAAATAAGTAGTATGAATTTATTAAAAGCTACAACTGCTGTGGTGTGGACTGGCGTGGCCGATACCAGCCTAGCTGAACAGATGGTACTTCTCCTGTGTTTTGTTACTGCTGTCACAGGTAGGGAGAGATCCTGTTTACGGGGAAAAGTACAAGCATTTTTGGGGGAGATGTTATCCACTGGGGCTTGGAATAAGAAAAACAGCCTGGATTTCATGTCCCTGTAATCGCTATTTCAAAGACCTGTAACTAGTGGCATGTGATGGGCCCTCTGAAAATTGTGTTTTGTCAGTAGAGAGGACAAAGCTTAGAAAAGGATTTAACAACAAGCTTTCTGCACGAGTATTTTAGCCTCTAATGTTTCACTACAGCCTGGGCAGATCTACTGAGGGAGGGAGGTTTTTTGAAGGGCTACAGCCTGCACATTGCCTTCTGCCACCTGGTACCTGCACCAAGTTGAGAGACCGGGGACATAGCACCGCTTCTGTTTGCTGGCCCAACGGGCTGGCGGCTGCTGCTGCTCCAGGAAGAGCAGCCTCCTGTTGCCCCAGCCAGTCCTCAACCTGCTGCAACCCAGCATGGTGAGACAGAGCTTGGTATCCTCCCACGAAACCTGACTGGAGCGCTTTTGGTTGGCTGCCTTTGTTTTAACATTTAGACAAATCCACCCTGAAGAAGAACCTGGGCCTGGACCCTTATCTTGCAAAGCCAGGTAAGCCAAGCTTTCATACTGCAAAGCCATGCATGACTTCTATTCGAGTAGTTCACTTCAAGCCAGAGTTGCTGTGCAGTGGGTTGGGCAGGAAGATTTTTGGAGTCTGTTCCAGGGTCCTTTCTGCCTTGCTGCCTTGGGCCACTCCGGGAACTGCATCTTGGTAGATTGTAAGAGACCTTGGCTGGTTGGCAGCCAAGGCTGGTTGTCCTAGTTCCCCCGCTTTCCTCTGCCAACTTCTAGCTGAAGTTCCTCTGTGATCTGCTTGCGTGGCCTGACGCTTACTGGAAGTGTTCGTGTTGCCAGACAAATGTTGCAGCAGCCACAGTCTGTCTCCAGCCGCTCTTAAAATCCCGTTTACAGGATTTCCTCTCTGATTTGCATGGAGGCAGTCGTAAGCACTTGACTAGATTTGCCACACGCTCTTCTGGCAGCTTCTGCAGTGAAATGCTGCAGGAAATTGGCACAACAGTCTGTGATCCCGAAATGTTCTTGTTCCTCTGCAGGTGGTACTGACCGTGCCACCAGGTGCTAGGCCCTATCTAAATATAGTCAGGGATCTTTCCTGCTCTGAAAAACTTAAGAGAAATGTAACTTAAAGGAACATCTTTCATTTTTTTAATCATAGAAAAATAGTTCTGGACGTGACCACCACCATCTGTACCTTTCCACAGATCACAAGCCTAAAATTATTCAGGATGCATTTTTCTTTATATTTTTTACGCAATTTGAATGCATAAATCAAACCTTCTTTACATGCAAAATTCAAATGGTAAAAATGAAAATTGAACGTGAAAGAGTTGATGCAAACATGTTTTACTTCCATGGAAATCTGATAACGAGAAGAGCACTGATACTTGCTATTAAAACATTGAACTTTACAAGTGGGTCTTTTAAACATGGAAACCTTGATAATAGGATTTCCTTTCAACTCTGCTGCCTTGAAGCTTAATTTACCTCTGCAGAGCCTTTAGTTCTTAGAGGAGCCTTCAGATGAGCAAGCAACAAAGCACTCTTTCGTTGGGAAGTTCTTCTGGCTGTTTTCCACGTGCTAGCTCAGAGAAACGCAGCGTCTCCGAGAGAAAGCTTTGGAGTATCCAAGCTAGTATCTGAATAGGCGAGGGTCCTGCTCCGACCTGCGTATCGAGGTGTTCAGCCGGCTGAGTTAGAGACTTGCGGCGTGGCAGGTCAGTACCAGGTCAGTACCAGGTCACACCCTCAAAAATCACGTTTGATCAAGCTGATTGGAAGACTCCTTTTATTCGGGGGGGAAAAAATATGCTTTTGAAAAAGCAAACGGGCGCGCCCCCAGCGCAGCTCGCTCTGCGGCGTCGGTGGGGCCACGAGCCCTCCCGGAGCTCTCTGGCAAAATTAGCGACTGGCTGGCGAGCTGCTTTTAAAGGGTCTTGTTGGGGCACAAGAATTTGGTTTGGCAGCATGTGATGGCAGCCTGCTTCTGCGGCAGTCAGCGGCCGGAGGGGGCGGCAGTCCCTCGCTGCAGCCGCTGTCGAGCGAAGGCAGGCAGCCCCGGCTCTTGCCTGCTCGTGTCTTCCAAACGTCCCTGGTGCTTAAACATGGCAATTTAAGGAATAAAAGTCAGATATTTCTTAATAACATCTGTCTAAACATTGCTTTTACTGGGAAGTCAATTAAGTTCTAGTTTTTCTTCACAGAGAATGATAGCTGCGCTCTGATGAGAAACATACTTGATAATTTAATAGGCATTTTGTCTTTTTTTTTTAACAAGCTGTGTTGATTTCTGAGCTGTATACTGTTCACTAAGTGAGGAAAATGAATGTATTGCGGTAAAACATTAGAGGATCCATTAATGTGAAGGATGTTTAATCTTTGCAAACTGAAAACGAAGCTTGTGAGCTATCCAGATTATTAACACCTGAATGATAAAGAAATTTAGAAAAGAATTTGAGCATTAGGAAGTGCCAAGTTTGTCAAAATCTAGGCTATGTGCAGGTAAAAATGGTATTTTCTGAATTTAAAGAAGTGTTTTGAAATCATGAAATTAGTTGTGTTTTGACATTTTAAGTTAAGAAATGTGTTTTACTGTCAGTATTTCTGTACAGTAGAATACTTTCAAAGTCAAAATCAGAACGTTCAGCAGTTTTTCAGGGCTTCATTTGGAAAGAATCAACCCCAGGCTGGGAGAGGCGTTTTGAAATTTTGAGTTTACAGAACTTTTCAGCTGTCGTCTGTTTTAGAATATGGAAAATCTTCAAAATGTCAAATTTAATATGACTGGCAAACCTTTTCCTACTGGATCGTGGTGGTTAAATTGACCATATTTGGCAGAATTGTGGGGCTTGTTGTAACATCCAGGTGGTGCTTTAGCTGAGGGTGGTAAATTGTCAATGTGCTAAACATCTTGAGGATTGTTTGGGCTGACTTTTTCCATTATTGGCCAGTACTGCAGGTTAGATTTTCTGGAAAAAACATTAACCAATTCTGACAAGGAGCTAGTTTGGCAGTTAGAAAACAAATCAGATTTTATTTTTGTTTTAGAATGACATTAGCATGTCTCTACTGGAGCAGCAAGGTGTGTTGGCAGAAGGTAAGTCTTAGATTAATAACTCCCCCCATCGGCAGGTGAAGCATCCATATCTCTGAGAAATACAGAGGCAGGCTGGAGCCACAG